CATTTCCGGTCCTCCTGCCCCCCTATTCTCGTCACCTTCTTCTGTCTGCCTCCCAACCTGTCAGTGTCCCTCTTAACATGCTAAACTTGGAGCAGACCACAGAACTCCAGGTCCGGTGTGAGCAGGGCAGAGGACGGGACTTAGAAAGAGGCAGAAATGGGAAGTCAGTCATGGGCAAAGTAGACGGTGCCGAAACATCGGAGGCCTTTCCTGAATGTGCTTGTCAGGAGACCCACAAATAGAATCAATCAACTGGGCCTTAATCTACGATCTGATGTGGAGGATTTGAGAATAACCACGGAGAATGATAACCATAAAGTCTGTCGTGCAGCAGACCTGGAGGAGGTGCTCAGTGACTCACAGGAGGCCAGGAAACCACTAACAGCAGGGCCTCCTCAGCTATTGTGCACACACTGAGCTGTCTGACCCAGTGGTACCAGAAGCCTTTTCAGCTCTGCCCCACCCCCACCCCCAGGCCCAGGTATGCTCCTCCTCTCCTCGGGAGCTGATAAGGTTTAAAAGCAGGGAGCCAGGAGGGTCTGCAGTGGAGCAGCCAGTCTGGTGTTAACGGGGAGCAGTGGGTACGTTAGCCAGATGCTGTCTGGGGTGAGGGACAGAAGTCTGCCAAGTAGCCTCACTCCACCCCCAGAGGCAATACATCAGCCAGGGCTGGACTGGGGCCTGGCAAGGACTCCCAGTAATCCATCAGCTACATCACCAGGAAACCACTCCTCAGGGCCAGATACAGGAGCCAGTGATTCCTGAGAGAAATTCAGAATAAGCTAGCTGTCCACCCCACTACAGGGGTGAACCAGAGAAACGCCTTCTAGCACCGTATAGGCCATTCACAAAAATGTTTTAAACGGAAAATAAAGAAAAGAAGAGGGGAAAGGGTCGGGAATAATATGGACTCAAAGGCCTCCATATCAACGTAGACAGTACAGTTTAAAAAGTGAACATTTGCTGTGACCACCGCTTGGTTGAGATGGATTGTGTCACTGGAATATGGGGATGGAGCAAGAGACCTCAGCAGACTGTGGGTGAAGCGTGCTTCCCTCCCCTTAGCAGAAAGGCAACAGCCTAGAGATGGCTCACAAGAAGAGGCAGTTCTAGGCAGGCTTAGTGCATTGATTTATTTTGCTCAACTACTCTTATGTGTTGCAATTTCTATTGCAAGAGAAGGTTTCTATTTGCAAAAGGGAGTTGGAGGGTAATAATAGTGATGCAAAAAAAGAAAATACAGAAAAGAGGTGTCAACGAAACATTTTTAAAAAATACACACAAGAAAGAAGAAGGAAGATCACGGGGGACAGAGGGGAGCAAGTCCATTTTGGGACCAGCACGCTTGCTTTAATTTACACTTTTTAAAAACTTCACTGTGTGTAATATAAGTGAATAGTTTCATCTATAATCCTCTTTTCTGCTCTCCTTTGTCTATCAAAATGTTCATACTTGTTAAGATCATAAAAACCAAAATGCCTCATTTAAAAGAAACAAAGAAAACAGATTCAACAGAAGAGGCAGGAGAAGAAGGCAGGCAAGAAACATATCCTCATGAAAATGAATGACTGAGAGTGGGGACATGGTCGAGAAAGTGTGTGTAAAGCTAAGACAGGAAAGCTGAGTGATGGGGTAGGACTGCACTACAAATCAACCCAGCCAGACGCAGAGAATGGATGACGCTTGTCAAATACAGCCAGTAGGTAGCTGTTCACTTGTTTCAGCTGCTTCAGACTCTCCGTGACCCCATTTGGGGTTTTCTTGGCAAAAATCCTGGAGGGGTTTGCCATTTCCTTCTCCACCTCATTTCACAGATGAGGAAACTGAGGCAAACAGGGTTCAATGACCTGCTCAGGGTCACACAGCTAGTAAGTGTCTGAGGCCAGATTTGAACTCAGGAAGATGAGTCTTCCTGACTCTAAGGCCCGGGGCTCTGTGCACTATGGCACCCCCTAGCTGCCCCCCTCCAAATACAGTATGTAAGTGGGATCCCTAAATGGGGTGGAAAGTCAGACTAGATGTCTTTTTTTAAATTTAGGATTCTATGATTGTCCTTTACTAGGCTAATTCGAAGTTCCTTCAGGTCACAGATAATTCCTTATACATCTTTTTATTCCTCCCCTCCCCCAGACTGGAACAGTACCACGTATGTAACAGCGGCTAACTGTTTGTTGAGTATGTTTTCTGGTGTTTTGTCTACATGTCTGTGTGTGAATAAAATTTCATTTTATCCTACCAACTCTGCCAAGTAAAAGTACCGTCTGCACTTTATAAATTGAGAGATAGGTCCCAAGTCACAGACCTCTGTAACTGGCAGAGCCACGATGAGAAGTGAATCCCTCGACACCCCTGGTCCTTCCCGCTAGGCCACAGGCAGCAATAGCGGCCGTCACCAGCTGCTCTTTGGCTAGATTAGAACCGAGGAGAAGAGAAGGCCTGCCACAGATGTGGGCACCAAAAGCAGGGCTCTAAACAGTGCTGCGTTTGAGGTCAGAAGGCAAATGCTCCCTCGCTCTATGTTCACAGGTAGGTCAGAGAAGGAAGCTCCAGGCTCTGCTCCTTTACCGGTAAGATGGAGCCAGCGCTATTAGCACAGGTAAGTGGTGCTGAGCCCAGGGGGACCTGAGTTCGAATCCAGCCTCACACACTTACTAACTGTTTGCCTCAGTTTCCTCATCTATAAAATGGGGATAATAATAACAACCCCTACCTCCCAGGGTTGTTGTAAGGATCAAATGAGATACTATTTGCAAAGTACTTTGCTTTGCAAAGCACTGTGTAAATGCTAGAAGTGGTAGTCGTCATTACTACCTGACAGAGGTATTTTGAAGACAGCGCTAGGTAACCACTACCATAGTGTATAATTTTAAGCTATTTACTAGAATAATAAACACAAAAGACTCCTTAGTGACATGCAGGACTCATCCTGGCCCTACAGAGAAGACTTGATGTGGCCCAAGGATAACACTATTGACGAATCCATGTCTGATTTGGATTTCAAAGTTGGCAAGGATTATCTATACTCTTACAGCCTAGATTCTGGTCCGACTAAATCCAAAGATACTTGGGGCTTGTGCTGGGGAGAGTTTGCTCCCCAAAGTTTCCAAATTTCAAAGGCTCCAACAGGTCAGTGCCGGTGGTGGAAGCGAGGCATGGAAACAGACGGCCAAGCACCTACAGAGCCAAGCCAATGTTTGGAGATTTATTTTTAGAATTTGCACCAGAGTTCTATCAACGGCTACATTACATCTCTCGTTTTCCTCACATTTAAAAATTTGTTTTGTCTTCTCCTGGTTAGATACACAAACATGCATCAAAATACGAGGTCACTTCAAATGATACCACCGCTCTGTGGCATGGGCAAGGCAGGTGTCTGCGCGGCCAGAGTAACAGAGCCCTGGGCTGGAGGAAGAGGGCCTGACTACAGGGACGGCCTTGACTCTGGCTAGGCCACTCTGGGGCAGTTCACTCTCTCTAGAGACAGTGGGGCTTCAGGAGGGGAGGAAGGCTGATGTACACAGCCCGCGGTGGCCCAAGGCCACCTGTGCAGCACACACACGTCCCATCGGCATCTCCCACATCTCACTGGACCTGAAGGTATCTAGGCAATTTATAAGCAGGAAAGGTCAAATAACGTGCCTTCTCTTTGCAGGGGAAGGCAGCCCAGGGCTGTTCTCAGCATGGCTGCTGATTGACAGCCTGCCTGTCTGTCTGGGACAATGCTCCTCCTCTCTCTAACTCCAATTCTGTCTTTAAAAAAGGCAGCTCGTGTGACCCTCGGGGGCAGCGAGACTGTGAGGATCCCCAAAGCGACAGAGAGGAGACAGCGTGGTGCACATAGATAACACAGGCCTTGGGCCCCAGGAGACCTGGGATGGTCTGGCCCAGCTCAGGCCCTCCCTCACTATGGGACAACCACTTCTCCGTCTCTGTTTCCTCACCCATCAAATGACTGGGCAGGATCAGGTGATCTCAAGGGCTCTGTCCAGCTCTAACATTTCACACTTCTCTATGAAAATACCCAGAGCTTTCAGAAGGTAGCAGCAGAGGAGGCCGAGATATCATCTCTGAGGTCTCTGTTAGACACCATATCCCTTCAGGGAAGGCTGGGCAGGTCAATCAACCCTGAAAAGCATGAAGAGTCTCATGGACAGAGCACGGGGCTGAAGGAGGAAGGCCTGAGTGTGTCCTCGCCTATCCTCTGAGGTGCGGAATGGCCACACGAGTGTCTGAGGCTGCGCCCAGGATCAAAGGAGGCCCTGCTGGCTTCCCATGGGGCCGAGCGCTCTGGCAGGGAAGGCCTTGTGTTCTACACTTGGTGCAGAACCCCACGTGGTGGGGCATAAATGCTGACAGCTTCCTTCAGGATGGAAAGGTCTCAAGGACAGTCCTCGAGCTAGACTGAGGATCTCTGCTGCCTGCACGCTGGCTAGCTTAAAGGTGAGGGAAGCCATGGCCAGGTTGGCCGCAGGGTGCTGCCAAATCTTAAAGACAGTCGACATGACCCAGGTCCCTGGGGGAGGTACCCATGGCAACGGAACCAGAGATCCTCAAAGTACTCTTGCCCAGGTAAAGGCCAGAGAAGAAAACGTAACAAAAGTAACATCCCCTTGTTTAAGAAGTGTGAGCAAGACGGGGAGTGCCATCAGGGGAGTGGATGCTGCATTCAGAGGAGCGAGTCTTGAGTCCAGATTTCACCTCGGACACTAGCCGTGTGGCCGCGGGCAGGCCTCAGTTTCCCTGCCTGCGTCCCAGGGCTGTGGGTAGGAAGGCATGTTTTAAGCCTCAAGGGCCAAGCGTAAACTGGCTTTCCCCTCCAGTGCTCCGTGAAGGCCGGGCACTACCAATATCTGGTACGGTCGGCGTGGCTCCCCAGGCCTACTCCCCGTGAGCCGGCTGACCAGAATTCTAGGTCCTGCCTGAACTACTGGTCATGTTGGCAAACAGCACCATTAACATCAAGTCTTTCACAAACTGTCTGACCCACACCAGTGACTTGCCTTAGAGATCAGCTCGTCATGGTTGGCTAGATGGGCTCTGCAGTGAATGCAGCTGTAAGTTCGGTGACAGTGAGGCAGGTAAGCCTGGAAAGTTTTGGCCTTTGTCATCTTCACCATCTCTGCCGGGGGCCCCTGGCTCGGCTGCGGGCTGGCGGGCACCGAGTGACAGCTCTGCCCGACTCGCTGACAAAAGAAACACTGGAACAAGCAGGCAGAAGCCGTTGTGGTCGGGAAGGGCGTGGCGCCCTTTCCACACCGACGTCACCAAAGAAACTGTCACCACCTGCCAAAAAAAGCAAAGACCTGGCGTTATCAGAAGGTGTGGGGGCGCCAGGCTGTACAACAAACACGAATTTGTCACATGAGGAGCCCTGCAGGGGATGGCCTCGGCAGTGGGGGTGGGGGAGAACACAGGGCTTAGGAAAGGGAGGGGGAGTGCAGTGGCAAGGGAGATGTCCACCGCACAGCGACCCATGCTTCTTAGCTATCGTACACTTTTTTTTTTTTGAGAGGCAATTGGGGTTAAGTGACTTGCCCAGAGTCACACAGCTAGTGAGTGTTATGTGTCTGAGGCCGGATTTGAAATCAGGTCCTCCTGAATCCAGGGCCAGTGCTCTATCGGCTGCACCACCAGCTGCCCCAACTGTACACTTCTCACAACCACTTGGGACGTGACGGGAGGGTTCCATCCCATCCTTCCTTGGATGCCTTCATAGCACGCAGTCTTCAGATCGTGCCATCCTAAAAACTCAGTGGTAGACAACCAAGCTGCTGGTGACGAGCCCCCACACTGAACTGGACTGACTGTTTAACTGCAGCTCAAGGACAGACAGTCCTTACCAGACCCATATCTTGGGCCTATCCACTCCCAGTATAAGTGGGCGGCTCTGTGCTAGGCACTGAGATGTGGCTGGGAAGAGAGGAAAGGAGAAAGGCAGGACCCTTGCCCAAAAGAAACTTGGTCTAATAAATACAAAATATATCCAAGCAACAGTTTTGACAAGTGTAAAAGAGCTGGGGAGATGTAAGGCAGGAGGAAAGAGTAGGCACAGAAGCAGAAGACCATGTTCTCTAATCACTAGGTGTCTTCAAGCAGGACTAGAAAACCACTTGTCAGGTGTCACGTAGAGGGGATGGTCTCAACCGCTAAGCTTCTGGGCATGAACAATGACCACCTCAATGTCTGCTCTGAAGGTCGGACTCCCGTGGCTGACCCAGTTCACAACCCATCCCTGTAAGTGGCTGTGAAACAACCTGAGGTGTGGAGCCTCTTAGTAAGGTAAATCTTTGCGTGACAGGCCACCCATCTGTCTCCAGCCTGGACCTGGTGCCTGTCCAGCTTAGTACTAAGGTCCTGCTGGAGCTAGGCTTCCTGGATGAAAGACCCAGGGTCACCTCCACGCTATGAAGATGAGCCTCCCAACAGTAAGAGATCCTAGAAAGTCATGAGACCCATATTTGAGGTCTGACTCTGCCCTTCACTCCCTATGAGGCTTAGATGGGCCTCAGTTTACTCATCTGTAAAAAGGGTTAAAGCACAGAATTCAGAGCTAAAAAGGCCTTTATGGATCTAGTCCATTCCCTTCCTTTTATACACGAGGAACCTGGGACTCAGAGATTAAAATGACTTGCCCAGAGATTTAGTGGGAAGAAATATACTAAACTACTTTTGCACACTAAGAATTTATGAAAACAATTGATCTGGTATATTTTAGACCATCTGTCTCCTTGGAAAACATGGAAGGAAATGTGATTATCTTTAAGTTTATTTTAGTAAAAACAGTAACAAAAAATGTATTCCTGTATCACAGAAATTATGTGCCTAAATGGTTCAAATCCCAGGGTCACTCTCCTTCTTTTAAAAAGACAACAAAAATCGATCAAAGCACTTGAAGCCACGGACATTATTAAATGAAATAATGACATTCTCTGCAATGAACTCAGCTGTTTTCGTCATTATAGATACTCCCCAGGGCTTCGGTCATATGGTGGGGTTTTCTTTCAGAAAATCCAGAAGGCTGGGGTTTCTTCCTGCTTCTCAAGTGTAGGAGGAGGAAGAGGAAGGTGAGAGGTCCTAGACAATTCAGCTATTAGCAAAGTTGGAGGAGGAGGAGCCAGGCAGCAATAAACCAATGAGAACCATGGCATGGTGCGGCAATGAGAACACCCTATCTGGGGTCAAATCTCAGCTCTGTTCTTCCTCCACCTGTGACCCTGAAAGGCTCACTTCCCTGCTTTCTTACCATCTTGAAGTCTTCTAGCCCCTTCTGATCTTGGGCTGCCCCCACCCACCCACCCTCTAATCATCTTCACTCCTAAGAATATCGAAGAGGACAGAGAAATAGCCATCACATCTGACAATCAGGGTGAGGAAGGGAGGTACAGCTAACTGGTGCCACAAAATGTTCTTCATGAAAGAATACAAACAAGCCATTTACAAAAGGAGCCACAAAAATTGTAAACAATCACTTTTTTAAGATATTAAAGCTCGCTAGTAATTGGAAAAGCACAAAACAACTTTGAGGTACTACATCACCTAGTCAAGTGGCAACAATACCAGAAGCAAAAGCCAATGCTGGTGAGTTGGGAAGAGGCAGCACCCTTTCCCCTCCCTCCCTTAAAGAACTGCCCATTGACATCATCATGTGGCAGGAGAGCGATTTGGCAGGAACAACAAAAGTCACACAGGATAACTGTGCCTCTGACCCAACCACGCGTGTTAATCTTACCTGAAGGGTAATATCATAAAAGAAACTCTGTCCAAAGAAACACACACACGTATTTGGCAGCATTCTGCGTCACTGCAAAGGACTGGAAGAGATCTCAAAGTGGCCCAACGGGGCAATGCTTAACTGGACTGATCTAACTGGTGTGAGAGAAGGTTTTTGCTTTTGCTTTAAAGATTGCGCCTACGTTCCCTGCCAGTGCACATCAGCACCTTCTCTGCACCTTAGAGCTGCCTGCGACCCATAGGGCTGATGGGACTTGCCCAGGGTCACCCAGCCAGCAGGGGTCAGAGGTGAGATTTGAACCCTGTCTACTATAGCACAATGCCTGGGAAATGTCTCACAGCATTAAAATGAAAAAGATGGAACATGAAGAAATCGGGATAGAGAAAAAGAAGAAAGCTGACCCAGAGAAGAGCATACACACTACTAGAGTTACATGATGTCCCTTCAAACATCTGTGATCTCACTGCCAAGCAGCCAGATGGCAACCCCCTTTGATGCATTATTTCACTATCTGCAAGAGTCCCCACCCTGAGCACCTCCTGATGATTATTAACCTCTCCAAATTCAGCACTCATAGTCAGGCCACAGACATAACCACTCCCCAGTTTGCACAAAACCCTAGCCTGGCAGGGCTGGTCAGCAATGGTATTTCACCAGCAAAGCCTTCAAGAACCCAGGTAACTTCCATGACATGACCCAGGTGCGGAAACAGGGCCTGAGGAAAGGAACTTGAGACTACATGAAAAGAAATTTTGTGTATCTATTGTACACACACACACACACACACACACACACGAATGAACAAAGAGACCAGAAGATATAGACTGTGTAACTAATAAGTTGCTCTAGGTAGATTACATGTAGAAATTCATTCTTAAACTGTAAATGTGTGCTTATTTGTGTTTGAAGATAATCATAAGAAATCATTTTTATAATAATAAATTTTTAAAAGACCTGAAGCTTTCATAGACAGTCTTTCTGCTTCACATCAGTCCTTCCCCACCCACTAATCAATTCTATCAATTTGTTTATCTTTCATTTTTTAAGACAATTGGGGTTAAGTGACTTGCCCAGGGTCACACAGCTAGTAAGTGTCAAGTGTTTGGTCTGAGGCCGGATTTGAACTCAGGTCCTCCTGACTTCAGGGCCCGTGCTCTGTCTACTGCATCACCTAGCTGCCCCTAATTTGTTTATCTTGTAATTGCCCTACCTTCCAATCGATCAGTTCTCAGACTATACAAATGAAGCACCTTGCTATTTTTTTAAAGTTGAGCAAGAGACTATTGCTGGGCCCCAGCTCACCTGGCTGCACCTGTGCAATGGACAAGGCCACAGATTAGGGGCCCAAGGTGAGAGAGACTTTGTCAAATATTGGCTTGAGTTTGAGTGAACCGTACTTGGAGCATTAGTCCCGAGTACTGGTTCCGTGATTCTGTCACAAAAGGAGATAAAGTTGGTTGGGCCCCTAGAGGCGGCTGGTGGCGTGATGGTACAGAAAGTGCTCCTGGGCCTAGGCTCAGGGAAACCTGAGCTCAAATCCAGCCTTAGATATTTATAAGCTGTGTGACCCTGGGCATGTCCCTTCACTTCTGTCTGCCTCGGTTTCCTCAACTGTACAAAGAAGAGAAAGACATCTCCCTCCCAGGGTAGTTGTAAGGATCAAATAAGATAATCCTTGTGAAGCGTTCTGCAAACCTTAAGAACACTATCACTACAAGCTATTATTACTGATGAAGCCAGGCTGGCCTCTATGCCTTCCATCAGTGTAGATATCAAATCCATGCAGCCTCTCCATAGCTTGTTGGTACACAGCTGTTGGCATGCTGTCTACCCCCTTAAGACTGAGAGCTGCTTGAAACTGGAAACTGCTAGCATGGAATCCTGCACACTTAAGAAATTTTAAGCTTCAAGCTTAAGAAATGCTTGCTGTGCGGCAGCAAGGTGGCGCAGTGGATAGAGCACCGACCCTGAAGTCAGGAGGACCTGAGTTCAAATCCAGCCTCAGGCCAAGCACCTGATACTTACTAGCTGTGTGACCCTGGGCAAGTCACTTAACCCCAATTGCCTAAAAAAAAATTAGGGTACCTAAACTCTTACAAACTCTACTGCTGAGGCCTATACAATCAAATCCAAATCTGATCCATAGTTATTCATTTCAGTGAGAAATGCTTGCTATCAGCTTCCTTTTTAACAGTATCTTTGAGGTTTTACCCCAGCTTTCTGGCCTACAATGTATAGAACATCATATATAGATATATAGATAGAGGTAAGTGTATGTATAGATGCCTGTTTACATATATACCCACTCACATATGGATGGATGGATGGACAGACAGATGAACAGGCAGACGGATGGATGGATGGAGGGAAGCAGAACCATATGAGGCATGGAAAATCCAGGGGCCCAGACTGGGAACGACCTTAAAGGGCAGGCTAAGCGGAGACTACGGGAAGCCATCCAAGGGTTTGGTAAAAGAGAGAAAATGAAGTTATAGCTTTGTACAATGAATCCTGCCCACAGACTGAGGGAAGTTCCTCCAGGGAAAAAGCC